GGCGTTGCGGGCGGGCCGGGGGGGGGGGGCGACGGTGTCTCCGGGTCTCGCCTCCCCGCGGAGCTCTCCGGACGGGAGAGAGGCAATCTGGCTCCGCGGGGCGCGGCTGGGCGAGGCGAGGGACGCTGAGAGGAGCCCCTCCGGCTCCGGCGGGGGGACAGGCGAGGGCCGGCGGCCGGGGCTGCGATGGTGCCGCCGCCCGCCTTGCTGGTGGCCCTGGCCGGGCTGCTGGCGAGCTGGGCGTCCCCGACGCGGGGCGCGGCGTGCGAGCCGGTGCGCATCCCGCTCTGCAAGTCGCTGCCCTGGAACATGACCAAGATGCCCAACCACCTGCACCACAGCACGCAGGCCAACGCCATCCTGGCCATCGAGCAGTTCGAGGCGCTGCTGGGCGTCCACTGCAGCGCCGACCTGCTCTTCTTCCTCTGCGCCATGTACGCGCCCATCTGCACCATCGACTTCCAGCACGAGCCCATCAAGCCCTGCAAGTCCGTCTGCGAGCGGGCCCGCGCCGGCTGCGAGCCGGTCCTCGTCAAGTACGGCCACGCCTGGCCCGAGAGCCTGGCCTGCGACGAGCTGCCCGTCTACGACCGCGGCGTCTGCATCTCCCCGGAGGCCATCGTCACCGCCGAAGGCTCGGGTGAGTCAGCCAGGCGGAGCCAGCCAGGCAGCGAGCAAGTGGCCGGGCGCGCCCCCCGGACCGCCATCCCTGCGCCGGGGCACCGGCTTGCCCCCTCCCCTCCCCAAATCCGATCTCGCCCAGAGCTACCCGGAGCCTCGGCTGCACGTCAGCCTCTCTAGGCACTTTCCCGGCTGCTTTTCGGGACCCGCTTCCCAAATGCAGCAGGAGTGCCCCATCGGCGGACTCTCTGCAGCTCACAAAGAGGCCAGCGGCAGGGAGTAAGCGCCATGGCCATTCCCCACGGGCAAACCCAACTTTGCCATCCAGGCTCCGGACGGAGCCTCCTTTCCCACACCTACCAGCTTCGGGACCCACCTGCGCGAGAGTCGCGCTTTTCAGCTTAGAGGGAACACTGGTCCCAACTCGCTTTACCGCGACGCCCCTAATCCGGTTTTGCGCACAACGTGTGTGTGTGTGGGGGGGGGCAAGGATGTAGGTTCCCGCGGGGGCGGGGAATAAACCGAAGTGCGTCTCTTCTCCCCGACGGGAGCCGCAAATGCAACTCCAGGTCACCTCGTGCCCCTCCCGCGACCACCGCTCTCTCCCTTTGCAAATGAACCCAGAGGAGGGAGCGGCGCT